TTCATCTTACTTGTTCGGTTGCACCTTGGAGTTCGAGCTAGAGCTCCAGCGGGCAGTCGTATAGCGACCAGAAATACACGGCTGACTGACGAGACTAATAAGCCAGATGTGATGCAGTCTATTGTGGCTAAATCGGAAAATCTCTAACCACCCGTCTGCATGAACATCAGTAAGCGGTAAGGGGAAGAGACCACCTATTCCACGTGGCCACGCACACAATGGAAACAGGACGCAAATTTGCACGGAAGAAACCTGAAATAATTGGCACCTGCTCAACCAAGAAGGGCCGCGAATTTCTGGAGGCAATCCACTCAAAAGAGGCGTACATTAACAGGCATATTGATTTAGATACCAACTACAAATTTCTCAAGTTCAGACTGAAGGATAAACAGCCACAATCGACCGGACAATTAAGTGCAGGTGACGCTTATTGGCTTACACTCTGGCCAACCATAAAATCTTGCGTTAGGCATCGTTTTTAGTTAACTGTTTTTTTTTCTGCATCTCCCAGTTATCTGGGGCGACAAAATCCGAACGTGTGCATAATAAACGGTATTCTGCTCCCAAAGAACTCCACTTGTTAATAACTGGATATATATAAATATTCAAATTTGTAATATTTACATGCTAACAACTGTATGTCAGTAGCTTATGATTATTATGCTCCAATACTTCTACCAACTTTCGCTCCGAGCCAGAAACGGTTTTCTCCGCGCATCTATTTATGAGTAGATAAAAAACGGAACTTAAAATCATGAGTATATATATCAGAGAGCAGATGGAGGACGTTGGGGTATCCTATGATGTGGCCAATCCCTCCTAGCTGATTTATGCAGCGGCAATGACAGAGGGGTTTTGACATTTAGCTGGGAGTTGTGCTGTCGGCATGGTGATCCATGCAATACAATCCTCACTATTTCTTGGTAGTTGCCTAATATTATGTGGTTAAAATATTTAAATCAACTTTCGATCCAAGCCTGAAAAGGGCTTTTTTGTTGCATTAATTGCTGAGGAGATTCAAGAACTGAAAATAACAGGCATTCGTATTATTGCACTTTTAAGTACCATTTATTTAGATCTCGGCCGAAATGTTGCCATTAGTTGCGTGGACATCTGAATATGACCACTCCTTTCAACCTCCAAAGTGCCGTTTACGGTGATTTTGGCTGCTAGTTTTGTCTATCAATTAGAAGCGATTTCGTAAAATGGTGTTTATTTTATTTATCTAAATGGAAAAAGAAAATTGCCATGACAAGATTACATGTCTTTTAGATCTTTGTCTTGATGTTATGAGATTTCCCTCATTTTTCCCCACTGAAATTTGTGGTTGGTGGATTGGGCTCTCTTGGACGCTAGTTCGTTTTTAACCTTTCAATTAGGATCCTCTGCTCTGCTTCACAAACTACAGTAAAGGTACTGGGCAGTAAGTTATATACGAAATTCTGAAATGAGTATTAGGTCCGAGAAGACGGCCTACGAAAGGCTGTAAAATGCATTATCATGTAGTATAATCCCAAGATATTTCGGTCCCACCAGCAAGCTGGCTTTTGAATGCAATACTTTTTGACCACCTATAAAAAGTGGCTAAGTAAATATTATTAGTTTCCCCGTTGATCTCCCATTACCTTGCTAATTAAAATATACTTTGTAGAAAAAAATTCACAAAATATCCTTTGTTATACTCATTTGGCAAAAAATGACGTCTTCTTCAAATTCTATGCGTGAAGAAAGGTCGGCAGTGGGTTAAAAAAAATTTTTTTTAAATTCCCGACTTATGTGGAATCCGATTTTTTGCTATAAATGCATTCAGGGTTCAAAATCAAATACTGTATGCATTCCGTCTACGGCAGAGCACACATTTCCCTACGCTATTAGGAGAAGTGCCACGTAGTGGATCATGCGTAACCGTTATAAGAAATATGAGTAAATAGGCAGATACGATGCCTTACGACGGGCTTCACAAGCTTCTTATTAGAAGCTTTTTATAGTCGACGGGTACCCTTCAATTTTACACTTTAAAGACGACGTACTCTGCTACCAAATGAGTACAAAAAAGAACATTGTATGCATATTTTCCATCAAATATGTTTGAATTTATAAGCGCATTGAAAATTACTGGGAAACGTTCATCTTACTTAAGTAGTAATTTGTTTTAAGAAAATGTAGTCTTGTAGGCGATCAGGAAAGAGCTCGTGCAAAAGTCGGTACCCTGTCGTGACTGAGATAGTTTTGGGGTATTACACTGCAAGATAACTAGTATTGAATCCATAGTAAAATATCTTTTTTCGATTCGAAAACATATTTCAGAATTTCGGTTAACAGTGAATAAGGAATACTGTAATTTCATATTTGACTGCTCAGTTGGGGCGGCATGCATTTTTGAACTGAAAACGGGCAACGGATCAGGAGTAATGGAGGAGGCCGTACTAACGTAATCTGTACCAGCTTAAGTATTATCATCATAAACGTACAGATCAACGGCATTCTCCTTGTCCAACTTCATGGCCAGCATCTTCTTCTTGATAGCCTCCATTTCTGCGAAATATCAGAGCGGGAAAAATGAACGAGTTCAGGCGAAGCTTCGAGAAGATCAGTAGTCGACCGAGGACGCGACGACCAACACCGAGAACAGAAGGGCAACTATGAATCCACACGTCTGCGGAAG